TGTCTTACCTTGAAATGTAGTGAATCACAAAGCTTTCTCGAGATTCATGAAATTAAAATAGATGAAATAAATTTACTTAATAATTTTTTCGCTATTTTAGAGCATTTGCAGCAATTCCACATTGTGTAGTTTTACCTTCTAGTCTTATTTATATTTGACCAAACCTCTCTTTACAGCCCCTTCCTCATTCACTAATAAACATTAAAAGCTGCAACATGACAATGCCGGCTCCGAAAAACGATCCCTTTATTGATCTTGGGCCAAGTTTACCTCCAGAGGAAGAATTTCTGCGCGGAAAGGCCTTACTTCAAAGCATGCACAGCGGACAGCACCAGTTCCCAGACGGCTCACAAAGACTTGCCGTGACAGGTAGTCTCTATGAGCATCTAGTGGCTCTGATAAAAACGCTGCTTGAAGAAAAACCGTCGGATGGGCTGGACCGGTTCGAGGCACTTAGTTGGTCCGTCAAAAGAGAATTAGGCGGTGGACTTGGTGGACAGCCTCAGAACGCAGGTTTGCTGTCTGAAGAGGTGGCAGCACGGGCGTCAATTGAGTGGCCAACGGATGCTGATTATGAGCATTGCAAAGTAGCAAGAGCCTTGTTGCATGTAAGTGTAAAAGAATCGAGGTTAGCAGGAAATATGCTTATGTTATAGGCCATTATCTCTAGCTGGATGAGAATAGCTTTATAGGGCCGATGTTTGCAATTAACTGCATAGTATGAGCAATAAAAGGAAGCTGGTGACAACTATTATGATGAAATATATCAGGAATATCGACTTAAGGCAATTCCCCTAAGTTAAACTATTCCCCTATAGGTTAAGATAAAGCAAGAATTACCATATCAACGGTGTGAAAAAACACCATGTTAAGTTTACTTTTGATGAAACTGACGCTGCTTGTTAGAAATTCTACTATGGAGGAGGAATTTGGTGAATGTCACAAATTAGTGGCCTCGGAAGGACGAAGGTGAAGGCTGTTCTTGTCATTATAGAGAGATAAGGCTCGATTAGACAAAATTATATCTTGCAATACCTGTGCTGATAAGTGATGGTTATTATCGGCGTCAAAAATGCTTATGAACATTTTTTGAATATAAGTAGAAAGTAGGATAATTCATATAAAATATTTCAGCCATATTTTACTATAATGCTATATTAATAATGATGATAATTGATATTAGTATTTATCCTCTGAATTAGCAACCTTCCGATAGCCGTCACGTATTAAGGATCATTGAGAAATCAAGGATAGTTCACTTTATCTATCAACTTTTTCGCACTGTTCTGTAAACTGAATACATGAAAATTGGTGAATCTTGGTAAGATTATTTCAAAATACGTTAGTCGTCATCGTGGAGTATAATTAGAAATCGGATATTATCTTTTTATCTAGTTTGATTAGAGCTTTATTTGTCGATTTGCGAAGTAAAATACTAGTAAGAATTCATCTGTTCTTTAATACTATAAAGATTTTGCCACAATCAATCCAGGATAGGAAAAAATTGAGATGCTAATCAAATTTTAACACGAATGATAATTTATGTACTTATTAATCATGTTTTTTATGTACTAACTTGACAATTTTATCACTAATTTAGTCCAAAGGAAGTAAATTGCCAGTACCAAGACCTATGCTTTCAATGAAAAGCCGAATTAAATACATGTCACTTTAGTAAATTGGGCTATATTTTACTATACTACACTTAATTTTACAATTATGAGCCAAAATAAACTGAATTTACGTATAATTTTGAAAATTAAGGGAGATGGGACGAATAGAAGCAGCATGAGTGTAGAGGTGACTATGAATAAATGCCAGATACCCTCGAAGAATCTGCTCCATCTAGCCAAGAGACTAATAAATGTCTCTTAATTACTGAAGGCTTTGGCTTTAGATCGAATACAAGTTCCACTTTTAATACAGAGATCCTGATGCTATCTTCATCTTTGCAATAAATCAGATGATCATCAGTTTCTAATTCAGTCCTCGATAATACTTAGAATTATTTAAAAGTAATGCATGTTATTTACTAAACTATGGGTCGCGAACAATGTTAAGAGTGGCTTCACTATATATTGTATACTCCTTTATGATAGAGCTGGAGACATATTTACTCATTATTTAGGGCATTCTTGAAAATAAAAAGTAAAAATCCTTTGTCTAAAGTGGCATTCAATGTTTGAATTGAATTTTTATCAGAATAGCCATATAAGTTCTTAAATTAAGTACTGAGCTATTCTGTCCTGTGATAAAAAATTCGTGAGCAATCTATGCAAAGTGAGCAATAGTATTTTTTATGTAAGACAAAAGATTTTATAAAAATTTAAAATATATTTTTCAAATATTATATATATACAAATTTATAGAGAATATATTTCATTTAAAGGTAAATTAGTTTTAAATAATGTCCCAAAGAAATATTAGTTAGAGTAGAAAATTCCGCTATTTAAAATTTTCATTGACTCTTTTAATTATTCAGATCGTTAAACTAATCCTATTGCATAATAAAATACTTCTACATGTGCTCAAGCGACACTACCTGGTGACCCTTTTTGAGATATCGGACTTTCCTGGGATAGTAGGCTATATACTGGTCCCAAATAGCCTTGCATGAACTTTAATTAAATGCGAAATTGCTTTCATGAAAATAGTGATGAATATAAGCAATTCTCTGTATTTGAAATTGTTTACATTACGGCAAATTACTGCATAGTTATTTTGAAGATGCAACTTTAGGGAGAGTTATTGTAACTTTAACTAGAATTGGGTTGACATCTTCACAATTTAGTCTTGTTGTCAGGGCGAATTTGTAGAATGCACCTTGTCCGAACTCCTCTGCCATAGTAGTTATCGTAATTACCAGCATCATACCGCGGGGCATTCTCAGACGTTTCGCCAGCATCATAGCCAGCATCATCAGTGAGTGCTGCCATTCTCCCCACCAAGCTACGAACTCGTCTAAGGGACAAGTGAAGTCAATTCCTCAACCAACGTTCTGCCGAAAACGGTTACATGATCACTCCTCTTTTTGTCCTGGCCTATCTATACACTCTTTACGCTCATATCTAACTCCCGCCCTATCACAAATTCTCAATTGTTCACATTCCATTCGTCAAAATGTGTGCCCCTTTGTGGCAAATCTGGTGTGGCCTCACCACAACTCGAGCCCATCTCTTTCGATCTGCTGATCCGACTCGGGCCTCCAATCCGGATCCCTCCCATGGTCCCGCAGATCCGTTCCTTCTCTTTCTGGTTGATCGATTTCACTCAGTTCCAGTCCCAGTTTGCGTTTCACTCCAGGCACAATTTCTCAAGGCCCAGAAGCACGTACAATGCCGCTTCACTTAGCAGAGCGCCTAAGCTCTGATTCCTATGCTTACAGATATCAGGCCTTCTTTTCACGGGTGCTTTACTTCATTAGACTCATGTTATCTGAGCAAACTGTGGACGCCTATCTCTTGTCGTATGCGGCATCTCAAGTGGATTTCTAGTATATTTTGGCCATAATGTCGAATTTCTGTGACGGTCCCCAAAGTTACACTGGTTGATTCGAAACAGACATTACTCACTGACAACGTCTTTGCTTGACTGCCGAAACTCCCCGTCCCCCACTTTCCTCATCGCGATTCCTTTTCCACTGGTTAACGATAGATCACTTATCCAGACGTTTAATTTTTGCTGGTCTTGCTTCATTCTTATTTTATCCGTGTTTGCTTGAGCAGTAGACAAAGTTATCGCTAACTCTACATTCCTCCAATTTCCTGTTCATTATATTTTTCTCCCAAAGTTCTACTATGTCGCTCTGATAACAAGACCACGTTGCAATAACGAGTTGAACGCACTCCTATAAATCGAAAGGAGACTGCTACCATACCGGGGGCTACACCATCTTGGTCTTCATATCTTCAATTACCTTGCTTCAATAACCTGCCAAACTGAGGGATGTAAAATTACTTTAAGTTACTAACTAGCTATTGGATCAAAGAGTTGAGACAAGTAAAATATTTGCAGTACCGATAAGTCTACTCTGTCTTCTGCAGCAAAGAATTAGGATGAGAGAAACCGCATTGTTCAATAGCCCAATTTATTGTTTACGATTTTTAAACTAAAGAGGATAAATAATAAACAAGTCAGATACAACCTGATCCAGGTTGATGTTGGAAATATTTTAACATCGAATTTTTATGCATTTAGTTATGTGCTTACTTATTTCAATACTAGTTGCTACTCATAATTCATAATAAGTTATCTACTTTAAATATTGTTCATTGGATATATAATCACTATATTTCCATTGAAATTTTCTTAATAATCTTAGATTAGATGATGTCCCGTTGAGAAGTTCCAAATGAACTATTTTATCTGCGCATTATTATGAGCTCATTATAAACTGACAAAATCCTTATATCCTGG